ATATACAGTCAACTCTGTATATAACGAACCTTTTTATAACGAACTCTGGATATAACGAACTTAAAATTTTTAAATTTTAATATTAATTCGGTATAACAAGAGCTACGGCTCTTAAGAAAACATAGTAATACTGTATAATGAACTTTTTTTTGGCCAGAACCAAGGGTTCGATATAGAAAGAGTTGACTATATATATATATATACAGTATATATAATATATATATATATATATATATATATATATATATATATATATATACGTATATATATGTTGTATAGGTGTCGACTTGCCAATTTTTTTTAGCTAGCATTAATTGATTCGAACTAATTTACCTAGAATTATATCCTTATCCTTACTCATTCTTATCCTAATTCTTAGTTACGTAGCACTAATTCTTCTAATTCACGACATATAAACTTGAACAATTTATTTTATATTAAACTCTCGACTATAATCCTCCAATTTGTTTCATGTCACACCAATAAATATATAATAAATTTTTTACTAACACTAAATCTAACGTTAAATAAATCTTAATAATGTCAAATTGCCAGGATTGGTCTAGTGGATTGCAAGTGGGATTGTTGGCGTAAGCAAAGTTTTTAGTGGCATGCCATTAAATTACTACAAAAAAATTAATGACTTGCTAGTTAGGGTTGGTCAATGGACCAAAAAAGTGGCTTAGTAAATACCAATGAACTATGTTCATAGACATTTTTTTTTCAGAGCCCATCTTAATTCTGTAATTGCAAGATAGATCATACTGTATTAAGTATCGATGTTTTTTTGGTTCAAATTATTCATGTCTTGTGATCAACTATATATCTCAATTTAACAATTTTCTAAAGGAAATTCTATCTAGAAAGATATATTTTTAGTAAAAAAGTTATCTTCAATGTATTGCATGAAGTAAAAATCGTTTCGATCCTGATTACTAAATCATGAGATAATGTATCTTCATAATACATACAGGCATAATTATTTTTGGGGAATTTACAAATAAGGGCCCAAAAAAGTAAACCAATTACATATAAGGGCCCTATTTTGGAAAATTTTACCATATCTCATGATACAGTGAATGAAATTTAATGATTTTGATACCATTAGTATCGTCTCGTCAAGACGGATCGGGTGGTACTAAAATTGCTAAATTTAAATTGCTGGATTACGAGCTATTCAACATTTTCTAAGATCTGTTTAAATCGTGATATCTCGTTATTCAATGATTTAAATTTGGAAATTTTAGTACCATTCGATCCGTCTTGCCGAATGGTATCAAAATCATTAAATTTCGTTCACTGTATCATGAGATATGGTAAAATTTTCTAAAACAGGGCCCTTATATGTAATTATTTTATCTTTTTGGGCCCTTATTTGTAAATTCCCCATTATTTTTTGGTACGATGTTAACTATATAATGATAGCACTATTTACCTCAATACAAATGTGGTAGAAACTGTTACAGTTTAAACCATAACCAGCAAAGCTTATAAGTTATGTTGTGACTGGTTATAGCATAAGCTGTAACAGTTTCTCCTTAAACTGATCTGCAGTTTTAGGCAGCATCAAATTTGAATACTTTTAATGACACCTTGTTTTATTTCTACTTTGTCAAGTAAATTCGAACCTCTTAAAATTCTTGGTTCGAAACGAATAAAATTTTATTATATCGTGTAAAAATAGTTCGGATTGGTTTAGGTCGGGCCGGTTATGTCTGGGCCCAAGCCTGACCCTGACCCACCCACCATGTAACAAGAAATCATTGTAATTAAACTAGGGAACGGGGTCCGGAGCCTAAATATTTAAATAATTTTTTTATTAGGTTGTCTGTTCTTTTATTTAACACTTTTTTTATGTCATTTAATTCATTAATTTTATGTACACCATTCGAGTCTTACTTAAGTCAATGATGGCATGTGTTTGAATTCGAATTTGTCAAACTGAAGCCTATAAAAAGATAAGCGAAGTTGTGTCTTTTTAATGTTTAAATAAAATATTTCAAAAATTGTATAATAAAATGTGAATCATATACTGTAATTTCAAATTGGTTTGATTAAAAAATGATGCAGAAAATTAATGTAAAAATATCCAAACGAGATCGAGAATCCTTTTGTTCTACTGTGATGACTGTTAACAGTTTGATCCTATTGATTTAGTAACAGTATCTTAGTATTATCACTTAGTGTCCGGAGTAGTGGTTTACAAAAAACTCAATTATAATGTGATCCAGTAATCCAAACTGGATGATTTTGATGCCACTCGATTCGTCTCGATGAGACGAATCAAATGGTACCAAAATAATCCAATTTGAATCACTGGATCACAAGGTATTCGCAAATAATGATCCAATGAATTACGGCAAACGTGCCGTAATTCGTTAGATAGTTTTTCGAGAATATATTGCGATCCAGTGATGATTCGGGTACAATTCGATTTGCCACATCGAGAGAATCGAATGATATCAAATTCATCCAATTTGTTTTATTGGATCACGATATAATTGAGTTTTTGTAAAAAAAGTCACGACCAATTACGGCATTGCTTTGATAGCTAGTATCACGTGATCACGTCTGCAGATATACGATGATCATATGATAATTTTTTACGCGTAGATTTGTAATAATAATACCCTGATCCGTTGGGTATTAGCGGGGCTGAAAGTCCCGCTAATTCACATACGGTCAGGGTATTATTAATTAATACTCCCGTGATCTTGAATAGTGATCGGGGTATTAAAGTATAAATATTTGGTTGAATTGATTTCTTGAAGACTGCCCTTTTTTTAAAGGTATAGTATTTTCCTTTATTGTTTATTTGAGTATTGTTCTTTGTGAGCTTTATCGTTGATATTATTTGTTGTTTTTTTTTTTCTCTACACCTGAAACCTCACTACGTTTTTGTTTATCTGTTAAATATTGTAAGTATATCATTTGAGGTTAAAAATGAATCAAATCATATTTTTTTAAGGTTTCGATTGGATGCATGCCTGCAGGATAAGTTAATGTATAGCTGGCGGAATTTTGATATAGGACTTGGATTGTTAACCTAAGTTAGAAAGGCATCGGGCACATTTTCGAGTATATAGTATTCATGATATTTGCAAAACTGAGTTTTTTCTTCTGCATAAGGTCTACTGATTCTGAAGTAGTTATGTGCCTTGTTGCAGTAAAAAAGTTTGCAAAAGATTGGTCTGTTTGTATTTAATTGGCCACCTATCCAAACAAACTATTCAATCAAAAATCAACTCAAATAATGATCCAGCCTCGTTGAGGCTTTTGACGTCATGGCTCTCTATGTGGCTTGTGCTACAGGTTCTTGGTCTCTTACACCTAAATGAGATACGAGTGTAGGTACTAATAATATATAATTTTGTGGATTACAAGGAATAGTCGAAGAGCAAAGCTTAAAAATTGAGAGATGTAGATGCTATCTGTCGAATGTATACAAGAATCATTTTTCAAGGAGCAGGTGTGTCATTGTAGTAGAAGAAAGCGGTATAGGGTCTGGTATGAGATATTGATGTACAACGACATCCTTCTTAAGTTTCGTATCGTGCTATTCCTGAGTTCCTTAACGGGATAAAGTTCTGTTTCCTTATTTTCAAGGTTTTAAGGTTTTTGCGCTATAGTTGAATTCTGGTGTCATATAAAAACTTTATTTTTTAAGGCCCTAAGTTGGTTGGATTCTTGGTCTTAAGGCTTGATACCGCTGGTTCGATTCAGTGTTTTGGGCGAAACCCGATTTTGCAGATTATTTGCAGATCAAATCGGGCGAAACTAGTTTCGGAGGGTTTCGGACTTATAGAGCGAAACTAAAATTCCTCTGGGCAAAACGGTTCGGATTTGGAAAATAGTTTCGCCCGAAACACTGGTTCGATTCCAGCAGGGTCAATCTTAAGGCACTAAGTCGGTTATACTCTTAATCTTATAATTTTGATTTTGATTGTTGTTCGATTTACAGTAATAACAATTAAAATCTCTTTTCTTAGGCTCTGCAATTTTATTTTTATCAAATTTTTTTTTTTAAAAAAATGAATACCTTGATAGATGGATTAATAAGGTGTTTTTTTTTCTTTAAATAATTATTTCTAAAAGTTTTTTTTTTTTTTTTATTTAATTATTAATTATTTCTGCTACATCATTAGGAACACTGCAGGAATCAGAAACCGATATCAAAATAATTTAATAATCTAGAGTTCCAATTAATTAAGATTTATCTGGATAACTATCAGATATCCGGATCTGAATTTATTCGGATATCTATTTACTATCCATTTACAATTGAACCCAGATAATTCTATCAGATTTTGCGATTTGAATCATCCGGATAATTAGATATGGATAAACGGATGATCAAATGTAAAAAATGTGGTCACATGAGAAAAGTTTATTTCTGATTTTAAGCTCTTCATTAGTAAGTTTTGATTTAGGTGTTGGTTTATTCGATAGAGGAAGTTTTGGTTTAGATTTAGATTTATTAATATGTGTCTTATGCCCCTTTTGAATATTAGAGTTATTTTTAGAAAATGTACCGACCAAAAGTAAATGTAAATTTTTTCTAGTCATCTCAAATGGGTGAAGAAAACTACAACCTTGGTCTTTATGGTCACTCATGATTACTGCTTTACTGAATGAAAAGGTTATATTTGACTGTTTTTATAACAGAAGTCTCAGAGTACTCATAAAGATACTAAAATTCTAATTCAATGTGTGAACACATGTTCAACACATTTGTTTGATTTACATTGCATAACCTTTTTAATTATTTAAACAGAATGGACAGTATGTTTCTTTCGAACGATACTATAAATTAATTCAAGATTTTGGTTTCAAATTTAATTACAATAAACACTTTCATTAACAACAACAAATAAAAATAAAAATAAAATAGAAAAATAGAACATGTGTTTTATTAAAAAATAATTATAATTTTATGTAAAATTAAACACAATGGACATTATGAATTGAGTAAATTATTTACAATTATTTTTTCTTTCTTTCTAGAACATCCATTTATCCCATATTATTCCCTTACCTGAATTAATATTACAATTATAAATGTTATTACTCCTTGATGTTGAAGAATTTACTAAAGTGGTATTGGATGACCAGCATCCTAAATTTTCACCATAGCACACAACATACATGTTATGAATATCTTTACATAAAAGACAATGACGTTCATTGAGATTTATCTCCTTGTACTTGGTTTCAGTGGTCCCTTCCTCCTTATTAAGAGGTGATACTTTCAATGTTATGAGAGTAAAATCTTTAGAGATCTTACCCTTGCAAGTTTTTAAATGTTTAGATAAAGCTTGTTCATCATATATATTGGTTACAAAACTGCACTTTTTCCAAGATGATCCCCTTCCTTTAGATGAATATTAGACTAAGTACGTAAGACCACATGTGTATTTACAATTGCAATAGTGACTTAAATGTTTACATCTAGAACAACAAGTATGAAAACTAGATCTTTTACATAAAGGACATAGAAATCGTTTTTTCCATGTAAATTTAAAGAAACTGCTATTCATTTTTAAATCATCAAATTAAAAAAGGTTTCGGGGTTTATGCCAATATGTGAATGGAACCCCTTAGAAAAGAATTCCTGAACTGAAATAAATTCCTCTCTAAGAGGTGTGATGGTGGAGGAGTGATGGCAAAACTATTACTTGAAGATAAAGAAGATATTATTGTATAGAATGGTGATGGTGACGGTGATAGAAGGTGGGATTTCTTGCTCATACGTGATTGAAGGATTTTAATTAATTTATCAGCCTCATAGTCAGTTAATGAATTAGCAATCTCGATAAGATCAAATTGGGAAGTCATAATTCAGGTATTTTTGAAATTTGGAAATTGAAAATTGTAGTATGAATATAGAAATTATAATGTGTATGAGTTTTGAATTGAATTTGACATAGAATTGATCTATGGAATTTATAATTATTCCCTGTTACACCTAATACATGATCGGCATAATCCTGTCGATTTGAATCAATCGTTAAAAAGAATCAGTTTTAGATGATTATCTCACAGATCATGAGTGAATAGATCTGGTGTGTCAATCTTCATCTATAGTTTGTTCACATAATTTGACAACATTTGAGGATTGTGATATTTGTCAATCTTTTGTTTGATGTACATTTCCATAGCTTTAACCTCCATGCCTAGACAAACTGATAAAAACATACTCTCCTTATTAAAGTAATGCATCGTGTCAATCTCATGAATATTTGGATCAAACTCATCGACAAGTCTCATTCTCGGAGCCACATCTTTGATACCTGGTTGTTTCACAATAACATATTCGAATCGTCCATTTATTTTCTTATGTGGATTCCTCGAATAATAAAGGTTCAAGAAATTTTTAATTTGTATGTTACCACCTTTCTCATAATTACTGGTTTAAGTGCAACATTCTTGTATTTTAGCATGCCATCACCGAGCCTTACCCAAGAAGTGTTCTTACTCCAGTCTATTTCACTATTGAGTTTGTAAACCTTTGCCTCATCATGTTTAGCAACAGGTTCGGTGTATAAGATTAGTTTATTGTTAAATAGAACTTGGCGATGTTATTGAAGATAACATAAGTTTGAAAAATAAGATTTGTCATTTTGTAACAAGTATACTCTGAAGAATGGTTATGAGTAGATTTATCCAGATTGGAATTCTATAATAATCGGTTATTTATTAATGTAAAAGTTTATGACATTTAAATAATAAGAATTTCCAATGTGAATATTCAATTTTGATGATAAATATTCAGATTAAAATATCACATTACATGCAAAAGAAATTTTTTTTTGATTAATAATAAAAAATATAGTATATAGGCGAGAAATTTAATGAATCCATCCTTTGCTATGCCCATCTTTCATTTGAGGTTCCAAAAATCCACGAAACATGATATTTGTGCCATTATTACTATTAATAGAGTTTGCGGTACCACTTGAATCCATTTGCGATTGCAATTGCTGGTATTGAGGTTCATGAATTTCCCAACGAGCTCCATATCCATCAAGGTTGCGAACTTCAAAAACACGTGTATCGTGCTAAAAAAGAAACAATTAGAATTAATATTGAGATCAGCAGATAACGTAAATATAAAAAGATTATTATTACCGGTAGTGAATGTAAATTAATCCACGCTGCATTTGTCAATATTTTAGCCAGAACTTTATTAGCTTGTTCGTTTTTTTGTTTTTCAGCTAATAATTATAATAAAAAAAAAATTTATTTTTTTTTCATATATAATTTTTTTGATTGAAAAAAAATAATCAACCTACATCCGCTACAAACACCCCAAAAAGATCCACTAGTGTCTCTATGACAATGTTTAGAAAAAGCCTTAGCACCAACTGTAAGTATATTTGAGATAGATGCTCGAACTGGCTTGGAGTTCTTTTTTACATAACAATGTGTAAAAGCAGCAAGGCATTCTGATAGTGATGGTGGAAGTTGAATAGCGGATCCAAGAGTTGTACGAAGGCCAAGGAAAGTGTTTAGGTCTTTTGGAGTTAAAAACTACATATAATTACGTTATTGTTGATTATTTATTTTATGATATAAAGAAGAGCACTCAAGTCTAAAAAGTTACCTTAAAGAAAAAATCATTAAGGGAATTACGATGAAATTCTTCAAACATAAGAGGAATTCCATTCCAAGAACTAATTATATGCTTCATTTCTTGTTCAATTTCGTTCAATCTAGACTTTAAGAATTTTGAATAAAAACATTTATTATATTTTGACCATGAATTTGGAGAGTTAAATATAATCGCAAACTCACCTTAATAAATTAGTGTTTTCGAGCATAAAAACTTTACTCGTTTTTAAATTTTGAGGAAATTCACCACCATTTTCAAGACAAAATGAGAGCATTTCTACTAAAGCCAAATAAAAAGGTCGTTCAAGAACCCCTTTATCGAAACAAGATTTTTGAGCTTTCGATGAATTAATAAGAGACTGTATACATTGATTAAGGTGTATTGTATCTTCGGAATTTGTAGAATTTGTGACTTCCTAGTTAAAAGAAAGCATTATGGTTTGATTATGATAATTTAACTTGTTTAAAGCATAATCAGATTTAATGTATGTATACCTCTTGAAGAAGGCCGATACACAAGGCAGGCCATGAAGTACGATCAGTAGAATCTTCTTGAGCTTTTTTAGTTAAAATAGACTTGATCGTTTCGCATAGATCCATTACTTGGTTGAGCGGATCTCGGGTTATCATTCTTCACAATTTGATTGGTAGAAGAATCTAATAGTAACGTCAGTAACGTGATATAGCTCACTCAGATAGCTCCAAAGTTTCTTGACAGTGTTCGTAGTTATAGGTTTAAATTATCAATTTATAAATGTAAAAATTACATTCGCATCATTTCAATTCAATTAGTGCTTCAAGATCAATTTAAACGTTCTTTTTATGTATGTTTATACAGTATATATATTTCTCTCTTCTTGCCGGAACAGTCAAATTACGATCTCCGATTGTTAATTTCTTATGCGCCACATCATGTTACTTCAAAATCCCGCAGTTAAATATCTAACAACGAAAGCAGTGCTTGTATTCGAATATATATACTATATTTATTGAATATATAAAGATTTATGAATATTCAAATATAAATTATACAGTCGATACGTACTGTCTAATTGCATACTATCCGTCAGAGACTTTTTTTTATGCATTTAGACAATATATGCATTTAAGTCATAAGAACTATTTTTGCGTTAATAATAAAAAGACGAAATTTTTTATGCATTTAGAAAGTATAATGCAATTAGACAGTATCAACTGTATATATCAGTCATAGGACATGTCCACATATAAGGGCTTAGAATGTTGTTACTTATAAATCAAATGAGTTGACTCACCTAA